CAGTTAATTGCTATCCTTAAATCTTGCTATGTGACAATTCTTCCTTACACTATTATAGGTAATTTTGTGGACATTAGAGACATTCACATTCTTAAATATGTACTTCAAATGTACTTTCTGGAACCACATAATCTATGACCTTCTCATGTAAAATTATTACTCAACTCTCCATGCAATAAATTATAATCTTAGAATTCATATCTAATCAGTCCCAATTTACAACATTAAACCTTGACGCTTTTGTGTGGTGACGTGGTGTTCTGTTCATCACCACGGATAATGAAAGACCCTCAGCTCATCACTATGATATTGTAATGACAATTAATAATTTTATAATTCATCAAGTATGTGCACGGGTTTTCACTGTAACATTACACAAACTTCACCACATCACCACACGCATCACACACGACGGGAAAGAGGTAAGAAGTCACCACAAATCACCTCCTTGAACGCAAAGGGCAGGCCCAGCATCCCAGCACCAATAAAAGAGATGAAGATATTCGCCACGATTTTCACGGGGCTCGTGATGCCCGCTCCCGGCCGGCCGACGCCCATGGTGAACAGGGGAAGGTGGTGAACAGGTGAACGGACTTTCACATCGCTCCGAGAACAAACAGGTGATAAGCCATAATGACGTGACCAGGGCTGCCAACCTCACGATAGTTCACTCTGACATACAGGCAGGGCTACCAACCTCACTCTGACTCACTGGCAGGGATTTCAACCTTATTTTAACATTCTGGTTCACAAATACCAATGGTTTATTAAAGTTTGAATAGTATTTGTGTTATCTGTATCGTCGAATTCTTTGCATTTGCTTCGGTCTGTGTGATGAAAGTGAAAACGTATGGTAGATGTGTCATGGCAAGCCTGGTTTAAAACAAGTAAGCAGCGTTTTGCGAGGAAAACGTAAACAAACACTAAATTTCTAATTATTTAACGATGGAGCAAATCATCCCGCTTGAAAATGAGACCATTGTGTTTTCTTGGAAATTACGACATATACCCAAATATATGACTAATTGTGAAAGTGCAAAACAACTCTAAACAGGGAAGTACATGAGCCGGGTCGCGGCCTCCGATCCGCCGAACCACCTGTGTCGTGTGTCATCGTTGCCTTTTCTCTTTCCTCTTTCGGTTTGCACTGTTCCTCTTTGTGTCATTTGCATTTCACTGGAGAGATTGGGATGCAGGGGCGGTAGGATCGGGTATTCGTTCTTTGGGAGCATCGCAGTAACACTGATAGTTTGTATCTCCTATGATAAATGATGTGATTTTTCCCCATCTGTGTGATCAGTCCGCTGTGCTGGACTTTAAAATTCCTTTTATATTAATTCCAAGCACCTTCATTACTTGCACGGATAACAGACATTGGCTATTTTGATATACAACAACTATACATATTTCCCTTTTTATTACAAGCTACTTTGGCTTGAAGAGGTAATTCATATTTCGGGAAATATTGGTATGTCTGTCAAATGTCAGCTTGTGTGAAGAGAGACAAGACCATTGTTTTTGGGTTCCTTACTAAATTGTGCAAAAGGTACAGGTAAACATCCAGCCAGTCACCTTTTACATGAAAAATAATATATGTAAGGAACTACTTCAAATGCAACTCAAAATTAACAAAGTTATTGGACATGCAAGTGTATCAGAGCTCAATATTTTTTTAAATGACAACCCCCTAACACCCCTATTAGTGACAAGCTTGGTCGTGATAGCAGGGGAGTGCAGGAAAGTTACCAGGAAAATTGCAGGGTATAATGTGAATAATCTTCACAGAGTCAGGCACTATATTATCTAATGCAGGGGACTGTACCCTTTTCGACTCTCTCTGGGGTGCTGCCACCCCCCAAACCCCGCCCAGGAAGGAAGTGGTTATAGAAATGGAAATCTTTATGTGGAAACAGATCTGTTTCTCTATCTGCAGAAACGGACAGCCGAAACACTTCCTGGCGTACTGCCGAAGATGACCAGAATTGGTTAGGTTCAGGAACTGTGTAGAAATGGATACGTTTCTATAACCCTTGCCACCCAGGAAAACAAAGAATCCTCCATGTATTCATGAAAGGAGAGGGCGTCGCACAGTCTTAGCATCACCAATCCCACATGGTGGTTGTATGCTCTCTCCTGCCATGAATACTGGAGGATTCTTTGTTTTTCTAGGTGGGGTTTGTGTGTGGTAACCCCCTGTGGAGGGGGTCGCAAGGAGCACAGCCCCCTGCATTAGACAATATTATTCATATTTTACCTTACAATTTCCCTTTTACCTTTCATGCCCTCTACTGCTAAAAGGGGCAAGAATGGGGGGGGGGATCCATGCTGAAATTTCTATAAATTTGGAAACTAGAGCAAGGGAGGAATCCAACAATACCAAAATCATGTATTAGAAAAAAATTCTGCGCAAATTTTGAAAGAATTTTTGGATTAGATTCATATTTTTTATTATAGTGTTATAAGCAAACATAGGGTATTTTCAGAACACTAGAATTTTGGA